ATTCAGGCTTTACAATTGAGAGAGAAAATTGATATATAACATAGAGCAACTTTTTTTTTTATTTTTTTTTTTGACAGGAGTGAAATCCTAAAGGACATGAGGTTAAGGGGTGAGAGTGACTCTGAATCCTCCAATGGTTCAAGGTCAAGATGGAGGAAGAGTCCTCGTGACCGGGATATGTATTTTGATAATTCAGCCTATCATTATGGATTTAAGAACCCCCAGGCGGCATTTGCTGACAACATACCAACACGACACAGTCGGATGTCACGACGCGATCCAACCCTAACTTTCAGCGATAGCTGAATCTGAGCATGTCTGAAGGGGTCTCATCCTACTACAGCAAATCTTAACTATAAACAAAACAAATCATAGGAACATAGTGATTTTCTTAATATAACTTTGAAAAACACTTTCAATAGGATGCTTGTGTAATAAAGCTTATTTTCCGTAAAAGTCTATTGGCTGTTAAAAATTTTCAAGCTTCCATTTAGAACCAGTAATATTTTTTCAAACTGATTACAAATAAAAAATGTTCCTTCATTAAAGAAAACAATATACTGATTATAGATTTACCTCACACAAGGGTTAATCATTTCATCCTACTCTCTCGCTTAAAGTATTTGAGAAATTTTGGAGGGACATGTGACTTGATACCAGTGATTTGATATTGATATATTATTTCGTCTCGGACAATGTAGAAATACACATTACGAGATAAGGAGGATTTTAATTTAGTGCTGGAATATAATTTTATACTTATCAATCAGAATGATATTGTACTTTGTTATGTTAAATATCATGTTCCACTGTTCTGGGGTTTTTTGTGTTTTGGGTTTATTTTTTTTGTTTTACTAATTTGTAACATTCTACCTTGTCTTTCCTGCTTTTCATAATAACAATCTTCATATCTTCATCATTCATCATACCAATATAACGTATTAGATTTATTCCGTAGAATGCTTGTATCACCAGTTTTAATAATTTCATTTTTTTTTTTTTCTAATCTCTGATTGCAATTTAATGAAAGCGCCCAGAGTAATTTTTTTTATTTTCAATACTAAATGAAGGTTCATCCAGGATATCTAAATCATAAAATCTTTAAATTAAAGTTACATTTTCATGATTTGAAAGTTTTGGCTTGTTACAGATATGCTTTCAATAAGGATGAAAACTCCTGATATGAAATGTGTATTACTACAGAAGTAAAGGATTCATTTATCAGAACACAATCGGATGAAGTTTCATGGGGTCTATTATAGCTGGTGTTTTGTAGACTTATATTTTTTATATGTATTTTCAGTTGTTTCACGTATCTTTATACTGCTTTAGCATTTAGTAAACAACTTGTAGACAGTTCATGTTTCTTTACTAAATGTTTTCCTTTGATGTATATGTTCTTATATCAGATGACTATTTTGTTAATAAAACATATATATATTGAAACTGTTGTATTTGTGTTATACAGATTTGATATTAAAAATATTTTTGTACAGACTAGAAAACCAGGGAGATATATATTATTTCTAGAGTGCCAATGTAGAAAGAAGTTTGATACCCCAACAATAAGACATTTACAGAGTAACTGTAATGTATATGTAGAGTCGGGTATATATGTAATGACATGAAGGTGTAGTGTAACATGAACACAAATACTGCTATAGGACCTGGGTCAACGGTCACATTGCATGCTCTATCTTTAACCATCTACTACTATAAAATCCACCTTTTGTAGTAAACATTGTTATTATATAAAAGAAAGAACGGCTGTGATATGAATAACCCCAGTCGGATTACTTTTTATTAAAAACCATTATTTAACACTGTTTAGGTCTTCGACACCATATTGATAAATGGTCTTAAAATTATATCACACACTATTTAAAAGCCGGTTATAAGTGACGTTTACTATACTGGTAATACTGAAAGTATTCGTATATTTTCTCGGTTTGTAATCACAAGACATAGCCTCTTCTTATGTCAATCGTTTTTTACAACTAAAAATGTTTTTGTGACAGAAAAAATGACAAACAAAACAAATATATAACAAACAAAAAAAGAAACAAAAGACGAACAAGAAACAAAAAAAAAATAAAAAAAAGACTATGGCGGAAGCAGAATGAGGGACTTTCGGAGAATGTACCTTGTTTTGAAACACATATATATAATACATATTATTGGAGTGTCTGTGAATGACTAGTGTAGAAGTAGTACATCAAAAGACTGTGTTATTAAAGGTCTCCAGTACAATCCCTCAAGCCGAGTTTAAATCTAGTGCTCGATAGCCTATGACGACCTGTTATTGTTGCGGCCTGTTGTTTTTGATACTGGTGTATATACCCGATACCGAATGAGAAGTATCTACATGACACTTCATAAGAATATCGGCTATACATGTTTAATTACAAAATATACACTAGAAATGGGCCCACAGACAAACGTAATACTTTGACGTGGGGATAATGTGCCGTTCGTAATTTTTTTATTTTTATCTAAAAAGAAATTAATTAACAAAGTACTCCTGGATCAATCCCTTGGATTTAAATCGTGTGAGATAAGTGGATTCTTACCATGTACCCGAGCTGACATTGGTGGTGGAAGCAGATACATAACAGACCCGCGGTTAGTACGTACATGTGTACGAGAATTACTCGACAATACAAAGTAAATTATGTATAGATACCTTAAATAAGACACGTCAAAAAGACTTTATAATGTTAACACTGATGGATGAACTTTAACCCTGAAAGCAAGCACGTTATACATAACAAATATGACTGAATGTTTGAAAAAATACCTCTTCATAAAGCATTAGATGAAAAGATAATAACTTAACTATGTAAATGAAGGAAGTGGCTTGTTTGGAACATATATGTTGTGACAGACCTAAAAGTCAGAACGATATTGAAAGACTATTCATATCTGATCGATTGTTGTAACGAGTTTGTATAGCCAGACAGAAATACAGTAAGAAGTACAGTACAGACAAACCCCGGCCATTTTAGGACTCTAGCTTAATGATACCAGAATGGGTTTACCAAATATCTACATCTTAAAGTTGTTTTTGAAAACCTCCTAATCTCTTTTAGCCTTGTAATGCAGATCCCAAATCTCATCTGACTTTGTAATGTTGTTTTGCTTCAGGTCCCTAACTTTCTTGTTTATACAATGTATAAGCATTGACCTTGCTGCGAACCCTAAAAATCTTCGGACATTCTGAGGTCGTACTGTGGAACTCGAATATCTTTTGCTTAGTGATGTTCTTGCAGCCGACCCCGATTCTGCTTCTGATTCCTTGATATTTCTTAGCACAAGTAAATGACACAAAAAGTACATTGGATACATGGGGCGTTCTGAATAACACGACAAGTGATCATTTAGATTTTAGTGCATTACTTTGTTATATTCAAAGATCCACAATCCACATGCTAGATTAAACAATGGAAACTATATAAAGTTGATGAATGAGATGTATATTGTCCTGTACACATTATCACCTGTCTGTGTTGGACAGAAACTAAAATATTTACTTAAAATATCAATATATTTAGCATCTTTATTTGACCCGAAACAAGTCCTTACGACTAACGAAACGTTCTTTATCATCACATTGGACCAGATTGTGTCCGTATGTTTCGTCGAATATTTTTGTTCAGTTTAATTTATTTTGGTCAGCAATTCGCTCTTGTAGGCGTTATGTAAGACTGAAAGTACTCTCTACATAACTCTGCCACATTAAAGGGAGACAACCATGAGGATGTTACAGTGCCGAATATTGGGGCTGCTGATGATGTGCGGCTGTGTAGTAGTATCAGTGTATCTGGGTAACATGCTCGGGATGTGGATGGTTAAACAGGAAATTATTGAAACTGTGCCTACCACGACACCACAACTAACAACAAGACATCCCACCACAACAAGAGGTACAACCGAGCCGGTCAGTAATTTGATGTTTAAGACATTGCCATGTTTTCACTAATTTAAAGCGTTCAAACCAGTTTACCATTACTTAAATAACTACGTACACTTATATCCGGTAAAGCCATCTTTAGGCTTAAGTAGTGTTTTATGTCTATGATACAAATGTCGATATTGTCATATACGATGGCTTGATATCATAATGTTTAAAGTGATTACCTGCAGTTATAGGCATTCAAGGTTGACCTCAAACTTTATTTACTTTTACAACAATTGCAAAACAAGTTATTTCAACTGATACTAATCACTCTTGTCTACCCGGATGTAAGTGAGGCAAATGCATGTGTTTAGTGTTTGTGGGAGCCTTTCTCACAGGTACGAACGCTCCATTAAAGGCAAAAAAATGAGAATATACCAAATTAGATATTTGAGAAAAGACTGTTTTGGAAAAAAATTAAAGGAGAGAAAATGTTCAACCCTAAACTTAGTCGCCTCTTACGGGATAGCATCATCTACGGCGGTCAATTTAAATCTTCACATTGAATATATAGCAATGGGAGCTATATCTAGTTCATACTAATATCTGAATATGCCCGTGTATACTTATCAGTGAGAACCACGTCGTTTTATACCTGTTTTGATATAGGTGGTGGTAGAGTTTGCTGATCGACCTTCTTTATACAATAGGATTCCAGAGGATTCGACACTGGGGTCTTTACGGCTGAATGCTTTGGAAGACATCTACCACAGGTGGTAACTTTGTCCAATTACGACTATATCTAATATTAAAATTGCATTGATATTATTTCATGTTTTCACAGACACTAATCTACACTTTAGAAAAACCTATTATTTTGATTCTATATCGCTAAAGGTAAAACAAATTCTCTTCAACTGCCGTACAAATTCAGTTGTTGAAAACTTCCAAACTGTCCTCCGGTTTCCTAAAATAGCAATAACCTTGAATAATGTTATGATATCTCGGTTATAACATGATCCACAGGTATGTGACGTCACTGCAGGTATTGTGTCCTCTCCGGGTCTTTGTGGGGTCTATAGGGACCGGATGGCCTGCGTGTAGTATGAAGTCATCACAGGGAAAGGGCTGTACCATGTACTTCATAGCGTAAGTATAAAAACATAAATATCCCAGTGAAACAGATAAACAGGTACATAACTAACTACAATACATGGATATTGGTATAAAATACATTAAATAAGGGTGGATGTCAACGATATCTACAAATAATTAATTTTTAGTTGTTGCTACGCAAAAGACAGCTTTCTGATTCGTCGGTTTTTTTCTCTGATGAAAAACTCCAGCTCCGCCCACTTGATAGTGATTGGAGGAGCCAATGGCATTCACCTTGTGTGTGGATCGCTGTTATTTAATGATGTAAACAAAACAAAAACGGACTATAGTATCATATAATATTCAAATATTTCATATTTTTATACATTTTGAACTTCGGGGAGAAAGCAAAAGCTATTAACTAAAAAAATGTTCTATCAAAGCTTAAATTTTGCTTGTACATTTGTGAATCGTATCAGGTTTTGGACGACTTCATCACACGGGAAATGACGACCATTTATATGGAAGTCCCCCTTTGGCAAATGTTGAGTGTATATCTATTTGATAAGGACCGACAGACTGGCATCGTGAATTAGGAATTTCGAAATTTTAATGCTTAATATTTCAACGTAGAATATTTTACGTTATTCTTCAAATCTTCATAGCTGTGATTCCTCTTTGTTTTCAGACAATAAAAGAAAAAGGGGGAATGTTCATCAGATTGTATATGACAATGTTTGATATCGTTAGCATGGGAAATAAACAATGCTTTTGAAACTAATTAATGTTGTCCCTTTTTTGCGAGCTCATAGTCCTGATAGTAGATCTAGATTTTAGGTTTTTCGGTGTTCATAAAGCAAGGTGGTTTTTTTATAACTTTATATAGGTTTTGAATTGTGCATCAAGGTTGTTTGTTGGTTCGGTTGTTGTATACCTTGTTCCTGTTTACTGGGATTGACCAATGTTTACATGGCGGGCGTCGTCGATGAAGCAGAAGAGGCTTACTTCTCCGGAACACGTGGTCTTATTCTCCTCGTACTTTTACAGGAATCGCCGTATAATTTTTTTATTATTATTATTTTGCCGTAGGTTTATTCAATATGAATTTGAATGATGGATATTTTGAAATGTTGGTATTTCCTTGATCTTTCTGCAGTGAGAACCTTGCAGAGAAACATGAGTTTGAGGCAGCCTTCAGATGTTCTCTTAAAATAATAGATTACAGGTAATTCTTTCCAGTTTAGTAAATTGTCGTTCATGATGAAAACTGTTATATTCATAAATTATATATTCCGTCAGTGGTAAAGCTAGACCGTGGTAGCTAGGAGTACTGTTTTAAGATTGCATAATACTGTATTTTAATGAATATAAAAATAATGAAAAAAATCACAAGAAGACAATTTAAGTATGTTGTATACTGATTATATATTATTTATTTGTGTTTTAATGCATTGTCTCAAAAATGAATTAATAGCGTTACCTTCTTTTTAGTTCTTTCATGACGAAGATTGGAAAGAACAATAGTACGGGATCGATTATGATGGAGTTATCAGCAGAGGTGCGTTTGTTAGTGTTGTGTAGCACCTTTTGGAGCGTTGTATATTGCTAATATTTGAAAATTGGCTTCGGTTGGATGGTTGGGTGGCGCAGTGATAATGCACTCACCTTTCATCAAGGCGTCAGGGGTTCGATTCCCGGAACGGACGTGGAAAGGTCTGGGATCATCTGCCCGACCACGTGGTTTTTCCCCGGGTACTCAGGCTTCCTCCCACAGTAAGACCATTCTCGCGCTTCCACCTGAGTCAAGAAGAGTGATTGTTATACGTACAAATCTTATATACTTGGTTTAGTGTCTACCCTTTCTTTGATTTCTATGCGTTAAAATCACACGTGATTGTTGCTAAGTTCACGTGGATGTCTCATACATATTTACACTAAACTGCTACGGGTCGTTTATGAATTTATCAACATGTCTTTGTTCAACATGATGAAATATATATACAAGATGTTATTATGAACTGGATTACACAAAACAGGAGCATCCTGGGGGAAAGTTCCCTAGGTCATGTCTGACACCTGTCCATCGGATTTCTGTCAGGTTCAGGGAAAAGTTCAACAATGTGCAAACATAGTCACTGTTTTAAAGTCATACTTTAATGGTACAAGAACTATCTATTCCATGATATATATCACAACACATGCCTTCTTGACTTGAGGGAGTTGGATACAACCTCAAGTCTGATGTCAAGAATCAGGAACATCATGACTATTGTTATACCCTCTTTTAAGATCAGCGAACAGTAACTGGCAATCTCCTGTTACCTCATGCTGAAGGGTCCCATTATGACATCATAGCATCACGAGCATTGTTACGTCACCACAGGAAAAGATGAAGAATGATATTATCATCAATTTAGATTTTGAATAATTCTAATATTTTTAAGAAGGGAGAGGTTTATGTTTTTGTTTTCAAATGTATGACAGAGACTCGGTAAAATGAAAAATCTACAAACGTTTCATCAATCCATCATGAATGGAAATTTCATATTAGATCCCGTGTACAGATTATGAAATAGATCATAAATGTATCTCCTCCAAAAATTAATTATCATTTTCATATTCATTTGATAGCGATTATCTGTTAACACAGATTCATATCTAAGTATTCAAATATACAACTTTTCTTGTTGATAATAGATAGAAACATAACAGAGGCTAATTTTGATAGACAATGTGATTACTGTTACTTTCAGGGACGTGTGTCCGTGATGATGACAACTCACAACAAACAGCTAGAGTTCTTTGCTAATCTAGCTAGGAGAGGCATACTCCGGAAAGTAGAACAACTATATATTAATCTTGACGTCACAAGTGAGAATACAACATCACAGGAATACATGATATATCTACAACAGCTGAAGGATATACATTCATGTGGCTTGAAGATTTACCATTTTAAAAGGATCAGGCAGCTTACCTACGTGTCCAACAGGTGGATAACTGGTCGATATGTGTTGTATTTTGTAAGTAATTCATTTCGTACAATTTCTGTTAAATGGACACATAGGCCTTCCGTGAATAGTAAGAAATACATAAATCGTTTCAGGTTTTGAATAACTTAAATGTATTAGTCTATCTGAATTTGAACTTTAAAAATACCAATGAGTCAACATAATCATGATCCAAACTCACATTCTGTAAAACTAGGTCAAAATATGAACAAAAAAAATACACAAGAGACTAATGAAAAAGTACTTGGATAATATGACCAGGTGTTCCCCAATAGTAAGCGTCTTTGGCGACAAATACTAATTTAATGATACTTGACATGCTCAGAATTAATGGCAATTTAAGGATGCCCTCCCTTTGTGTGGCAGAGAAGTGCGTGTGTGGGAGGTTGCGATATCACAAATTTTGTGATAGTACGGAAATGACGCCGTGTGTTACTACACAGAAATATGTTGCTAAAGCACCAACTGAACACCACATCCGGTCACATATTTATGAAAACGGCAAACCAGAATTAGTCTACCACAATGTTCACCTGGGCGTGAAAACTGTACCTGCTGCCCCCATCGCAATCCGTGGGGACAATAGGTATCGAATTCACTGCCGTACTATAACAAGGAGGCCTACACGAATATTATATCGCGGCCATCCAAAACTGTATACGCCCAACACATACAGCTGCCTCACATATACCGTGAAGCCGTTCTAAATTATCATAGCTGTGACGTTAAACAATGATTATCAAATCAATACTATGCTCTTCATGATGGAATCTAAATATATATTCCCTTGATGATAGTAGATAAATAACATATTTATCTATATCCTCTCTCGCCAAATTAATATGCAATCATTTAACCACAGTTGATAAATTATCTATTTGTCTACCACATTTCCCACATAAAGGAATCTGTTGATAAATTATCTATTTGTCTACCACATTTCCCACATAAAGGAATCTGTTGATAAATTATCTATTTGTCTACCACATTTCCCACATAAAGGAATCTGTTGATAAATTATCTATTTGTCTACCACATTTCCCACATAAAGGAATCTGTTGATAAATTATCTATTTGTCTACCACATTTCCCACATAAAGGAATCTGTTGATAAATTATCTATTTGTCTACCACATTTCCCACATAAAGGAATCTGTTGATAAATTATCTATTTGTCTACCACATTTCCCACATAAAGGAATCTGTTGATAAATTATCTATTTGTCTACCACATTTCCCACATAAAGGAATCTGTTGATAAATTATCTATTTGTCTACCACATTTCCCACATAAAGGAATCTGTTGATAAATTATCTATTTGTCTACCACATTTCCCACATAAAGGAATCTGTTGATAAATTATCTATTTGTCTACCACATTTCCCACATAAAGGAATCTGTTGATAAATTATCTATTTGTCTACCACATTTCCCACATAAAGGAATCTGTTGATAAATTATCTATTTGTCTACCACATTTCCCACATAAAGGAATCTGTTGATAAATTATCTATTTGTCTACCACATTTCCCACATAAAGGAATCTGTTGATAAATTATCTATTTGTCTACCACATTTCCCACATAAAGGAATCTGTTGATAAATTATCTATTTGTCTACCACATTTCCCACATAAAGGAATCTGATGATCAATTATCTATTTATCTACCACATTTCCCACATAAAGGAATCTGTTGATAAATTATCTATTTGTCTACCACATTTCCCACATAAAGGAATCTGATGATCAATTATCTATTTATCTACCACATTTCCCACATAAAGGAATCTGATGATCAATTATCTATTTATCTACCACATTTCCCACATAAAGGAATCTGTTGATAAATTATCTATTTGTCTACCACATTTCCCACATAAAGGAATCTGTTGATAAATTATCTATTTGTCTACCACATTTCCCACATAAAGGAATCTGATGATCAATTATCTATTTATCTACCACATTTCCCACATAAAGGAATCTGTTGATAAATTATCTATTTGTCTACCACATTTCCCACATAAAGGAATCTGATGATCAATTATCTATTTATCTACCACATTTCCCACATAAAGGAATCTGTTGATAAATTATCTATTTATCTACCACATTTCCCACATAAAGGAATCTGATGATCAATTATCTATTTATCTACCACATTTCCCACATAAAGGAATCTGTTGATCAATTATCTACATATCTGAACAGCCTTATGGTTACAAATCGACCGTATGTCTATTCATCTTTTCATTCATCATTTGGAATTTGTCTGTATAAAACACTTCTAATCTACCGTAAAGGCTATTAGTTCTTGTTGGGGTGTGTATTGTGCGAGAGTAAGAGTCATGGGTTGTTTTAAAGAAGTGTGTTGGTGGGTGGGGAGGGGGTGAAAACCTTCCAATTCTTTGCTGAATAACTTCGAAATACGACATATGACTGACAAAAAAGTTCTCTCAGAGACCAAAGAGAAATGTGATCTCATTAGCCCTTATCCCTTATCCCTTAGACCTAGGCGACTGCCAAATTTCATGGATGACCCGAATTGACCAAGGCTTTAAAACTATTTCCTGTTATGAATTAAATTCCAGACATCTTTGAACCAATAGGGTCCAATTAAAGTACAAGGCATACTAATTGGCAATACTTGTTAACAGATATCATGGTTCGAGTTATCCGTATAAACAAAATACATGGTTAGTTTCAGTAAGGCATTATCAGCACGATCTATTTTGGGTAATGCGATAGTATCTTGTAAAATGATATTTTACCTTGAAGCTAGTCTCAGTACACTGTACATAACCTTACACGTGATACATAACCATTCGGCTTATTTATAACATTCTACATATACAATCAACTACAGTATCATATCTACAACACAGACTTTATACATATCGAATATAAAACAATTTTTATCTAATTATTTACTCGTGTTGTAATCAATATCCATTAAAATATATCCCTATAATTCATTACCAATAGTAGGTTCAATATACCGAAATCATAACCAATTATTAATATCAGTTGTCTTCATAATGAAGAGTACACTGCCATCATGTATAAAGGCACATATTCCATTTTTGAAAGACTTAAGTAAATATATCAGGTGTCGATAACCTGCTTAGTGTTTTAATTATGAATATCTGTCTCTTCTGATCTCTTGTAAAGGTTGGTAATTATTACTGAGGGGTTCTTTTAATGCCCTCGGATCGAAAGATCGGAGTCATATTGTTTTTGTGCTGTCTGTTTGTCTGTTGTCAAGTTTAGGTGTCTATCACTACTGTAGCGTAAGATGTAGGGTTTCATATTTGGCATGTGTGTGCCTGTCACAATTCCTTTCCGTTGGTACCAAGCTTTTTACCATGTGACCTTGACCGTGACATTTAACCTACATCTGAAAAAAATTAACTTTGGCAGTAACTATTATATCATAAGAGGTATGACTTTCATATTTGACATGTGTGTTCCTTGTGACAAGACCTTTATGGTGGTTTCAAATTATCAAAACCACAATGAGACATAACTGTTTCCCAAAGTGTGCCTGCAATTAGCACATGCCTTACACAGTGCAGTTGGTGTGTTCCCTTTACGCCAACTTTCTTAAAAACACATATGGCAGTTGGTGTTGTTTTTACCATTTAAGTCAACAAAATTGGGCTACCTCATGGGGGCTCTGGGGAACAGCTACTATGGAGTAGTTACCTGTGACTTGATAATATTTAGCCATAAATGGGGATATTTTCAGATTTTGAATTGAGAATTAAATTGAAATGTTAGGAAAAAAAGAAGATTTTTTTTAATAGTATATTATTTAAATTTAAGGAGAAAAAAGAATTATTTGAAATTTATATTGTTCAATAGAAAAAAAGAATTATTTGAAAATTATATTATTTAACAATAAAAAAAAACATTATTACTTATCACACTGAACACTCCAAGCCAACTGCACTCTGTATAAATACAGCGACTGCATCATACTTTACATTCATAGTGAAACACTCATATCAAGTAACATGGCAAACGCACAGCTGAATTTGAAGTTCGTAATTAACAAGAAAGGGGGCCAGGATTTAGCCTTTAATGGTTTCCTCTACAGAATCATACGCAGAAATGGTGAAAAATCTTGTCGAGGATCCCTCCTGCCCTTAACAACATACCCGTTGCTTTTGGAAGACAGGAACACAACCATCCAACAGATCATGCAGAAGTTGTGGCACAGCAGATCAGAAACAGCATCACCAAGAGATATCTTGAAGAAGTCAGACCCATACCAGCAATATACAAAGAAGAACTCCGCAAGCTCCGAGATGAAGAATGGGATGAAGACTGCAAAGCGGTGGTACAGCGACTGCCTACCTTCAATACAGCCAAGTCGTCACTCTAAAGAGCCCGCCGAAAGGAAACCCCAGCGCTACCAAAGACTCTTTCTGACATCAGACTGGAAGGGAAGTGGACAGAAACATCAACCGGAGACAGATTTCTTCTTTTTGACGACGGAGACCAGCAGAACCGAATTATAGCCTTCGCCACTACGGAGAACCTACGATATCTCTCAACTGCCGACACATTCTACTGTGATGGAACATTTTACACGTGCCCGAGCTTGTTTCATTAGATCTACAGCATCCATGTGGTTATTGATGGAAGGATGACGCCAGTCGTATTTGCGCTACTACCAGGAAAGAGTAAAAGAATCTACACTCGACTGTTTACCCTACTCAAGGAACACATGACTCAACTGTACCTGCCTTTCGCCCCAACCCATGCATTCGCCGACTTTGAAGTAGCAGTACACAACGCCATTCGCCAGACATTCCCAGGAATCACCATGAAAGGCTGTTTTTTTCCATTTCATCCAGAGTGTATGGGAAAAAGCACAGACAACTGGACTGCAAAACTCTATACCGGGACAACGAAGATGTTAGGGCCCTTATCCGCCGTGCAGCTGTTCTACCACTGGTACCCATGGACTGCATAGAAGACGTATGGTTACAGACACTAGAAGATCTAGAAGACGCTGAAGTACCACAGAACACAACACCTTTCACAGACTATGTTATAGAGCAGTGGGTGGAAGGAGACAGACCGTTGTGGAATCACTTCCAAACAGATGAACCACGAACAACAAACAACCTAGAAGCCTGGCACGGGAAACTAGAGAAGAAGGTGAAACACGCTCATCCGAATATATTTGCCATCATACAGACATTCAGGGAAATAGACAATGCCGATGTCATCAACAGAATGCAGAGAGAAGCTGGAGGAACCACCCGACCGCGTGCGAAGAAGTACTGCAACATTGACCCCCGCCTTACAACACTCAAAGAAAGATACGGAAACGGAACCACTGACCTGATGACCTACGCTGATTCAGCATCACATCTACTTCATTTTGGATAAATAGACTCTGTGCTTTATGTGAATATTAATTAGTGCTACATACGTGTTTATGAACATTCTAATAATTAGTGCTGTTAGGTATTTGATTTATGAAAATAGTGCTTGTATATCAAATATTGAAAATCAATTACTAAAATTTAGTTTAGTATGTAAATGTTGAATTTAGTGCTACATTATAAAACTAAAAATAAAAAAGTGATTTCTGTGCTTAATTTAAATGATAATATGCTTATGAATGTTTATTAATTGTAATCTTCATATGGTCTATCATTAATGTCATATTAATAAAATAAATAAAATCTATTAAGTTTATATTATGTCTGAATTTCTTATTACTTACCTTAAAAACTGTTGCAAGTATTTATCATATATATTTACCTGAGTTTACCTGTATACCACCCCAAGTACCCCTTCTTGGGGCCCCTCAATTATCTTGAACAATAGAAAAACAATCCCTTTGATGTTCTGCAGAGTTGGCGTAAAGGGAAACAGCCGTACAGTTTTAGTGTCCCACTTAAGAATTTTGTTACAACCGGGAGCATAGTGTTTCATAAACTCATCTTGCTTTCCTCTGTTTCGTGGTTGGCATGATATTGTACAAAAAAACTTAATTATAAACTTTAGTATTTTTCCTCACTATTCATGTTATCACTTCAGTGATTTACATGTAATCTCACTAATAATTTCACAACATTTCTAAATATTATCTTTATCATGTATTTCACGGAAAAGCGGCTAAATTCCTTATAAATAAAAAGTATGGCTGTCATGGCTTTCCAGAATTCCTCACTCGATAATAAGCACATCTATGTGGTATCTATCTTAGATTCGGGAAACGATGGACGCGTTACCAGCCCGACTGCTGCCACCAACCACAATTCTGACAAATGTCACTGCTGTTGAGGGCGCAGCATTGTATCACGAGTAAGTCACCAGTATAATATTCCGTTTCTCATAAAACAGTAAGCCTATTCGTTAGACACAACAATAACATATGCCCACAGGAAAGAAAATATAGCTATAAAATTACACATTTTTTTAAATCCAACATTTACAGAGACTACTGTTATAACAGCATTCACTTTTGAGTTTATCGGCCCGTGAACACCTAGAGTCATTTTGAGACAGAGTCTCCTTGTAGCAACTGGTTCCTACCTCACTGAACAACAAGGACACGGACACGTCAAAACAGACTGGTCCGTTTCTAAGCGTCCAGAGAAACACAAATCGCCATGGATAGGAAGACTCAAATCGAAAGGATGAGCGTTTTCTTATTTATCGGCTACTCCCGGCATGTAAATCTTGGTCTGTCGAAAATATCGAAAGAAAACACCAATATAAGTGTCATCTGGAAATACATCAATGGTTCCCTATTTCTTATTAATTGTTTGTATATACTCAACACTCAAATCACTATGTTTGAAGATTCGTTGTTTGTTAGACGACGATATCCTTAACAAGCAAAACCTTTACCACTTATTATTAACAAATAGAACATAACAGGAAAAATACTATTCAATGATATTTTTAATCTGTGACCGTCAATGAATGTTAATGCTCATATTCTGGTTTCATGTTGCAGTTATATGCTGCAATCCCAGTTTCTTTGTCATGATTTGGTCCGTGTAGGTCAGATCGGTAACGGCGGCTGGGAGATTTGTAACGACACCGACGTACGGCCAGCAAAAGAGTGCTTTGTCTACTCCTTCGGGTAAGTCACGAAATCCACAAAAATCATCATTAGACTACGTCTTTTATTGTACAGGGTACCTCAGTAATCAGTCTCCTGATCCTTCTACTATAGTTCACTTCAATCCTCCATTTTTGACTCTATCTAGTTCCAACTTTGCTTTAAAAGGTGCAATTCACTTATCTATCTTTTATGATATCTTTTAGATCTTTGCGTAGACACTGTATTTACAACAAATATCCAGGGTTTGACGTAACCTACATGTCACGTTACATTTAATTCAAATATTGGAACTGTTCAGAATAAACACTTAAAGTATAATTGTTGAAGTATAAGTATTTCTTCGTTAAGCCAAAATATCTAATTTTAAGTATGTATTGAAAAGTGTTATTCGTTGTTTTCGAAGGGTTTATCAAAACATTTTCAAATATATTAATGATGTCTTGTCTTTAGATAATAAGACATTTATCGTACATACCCACCAGAATTGGATACTAATGGACTCTTCTATACCACCCGCTTACCTCGATCCCCTCCTGCTACGAAACCAGCATGGACAGTTCTCCACGAATCTATATGAAGATTTCAATTTCCTTTTTGTAAATTTTCCATTTCTGTATAGTAATATACCTGCATCCCCTACCTGTGGTGTTCATGTGCCGCAGTTGATTCGATCTACTAGGGCCTGTTTAAAGGGGTGCAGGTCGAAAAAGATAATGGGAAAGCCTCACGGTAGTCATAATGTTATCATTATTGTTTTTTTTACGATATGAAGCTGGATGTGTTAAGGACATGTTACATGCCTAGTTGTTCCGCTGGATATTTTGTTCTCATTTTGGAATATGGCAATGACAAAGATTTCCATGGTGGATGTCGTGTATGAAGCAGAAGACGCTTAACCTAATGAAATACATTCTTCTTTTCTTTGTACTTTTTATGAGTATCTGTGTAAATCAATATTTCATCAAATCATGTTTGAACTAATATGCCGCTAACATGTCAATATTTTCATTGTTGTTGTCTGATCTTTTTCATAAATCGAAGAAATATACCTGAAAAAATGTTATCTAACTGCTTATTGAATTATCAATTAATTTCATATATATTTCTCTCCCTTAAACATTGTAATGTACAGGTAAGTTAATTCTACGAATTTCTTTACAGGATGAATGGCAATTGGGCGTTTGAAATAGACATGATCAAGAAATTTGGGTGTACGGTTCACTCCTTCGACCAAGAGTAAGCACACAATCTTTTTATAAATCGTCTGAACCATAAATTTCTTTAAAATTATAACAAGTCATATTTTAACAAAACCAGAAATTCAAAACAAAAATTGAGATTATCAAAATGCTCCTTCCTGGTGAAAAGTGTAAATGCATTTCTCCAACTTGGCATTGTGAAAATATACTGTATAACGTTATAACGTAATGACTGGTAAAGAAAGCAGGATGGGATGCTGTTAGAAGAATGCAGGTGATGAATTTCCTTCATAGCCATGTAGGAATTTTACCACAGGTGTAGGAAATTCCTTCCAGTTGGTATAATTATTCTGATGGAGATGTTTTAATTTTTCCCGTGATTTTAATACTTTCTAATAATTTCTTATAAATACTTATAATATAACGATACCGTTTATATAGATTGCCTTCAACTTTGGAAATATTACACAGTCAAATGACGTTTTGTGTAGAACCGGAACCGGTCATGGTACGTCATACCGCCACAAGCGTAGATTTTACGATTTTGACATAGTTATTGAGGTACCCATTAGAGACGAGAGCTAATTCAACCGGACAGGAGAATGTCTACCTGGTCATTTTTACCTATATTGCCTAATTCGTCAGGTCATAACTTGGTCAATACTTAGATAATCTCGTTCATCAAACGCTTATTGGAAAGATCAAATATTCCCTGGAAGGTAATGTATTGTCACTAAGAAGATCAACGGCCACTAGAATATAAAAAAATCATAATGGATTATATGTTTACTGTCCCCACATGTATGGAAGTTGGGTTCGGAATTTGTGCCAAAAACCAATTGTCTAAGAATTGTAAAAGAAGCATCTATATGAATCCGATTTTATTACTGAAAGCTTCATTCTCTTTCTGTTACACTCAGCAAGGATCTTCCATCATACGCAAATACAAGTCTTATAAGACGTCATTTAATTGGGCTGTGGCATGAAGAAACTTTTCTCTATAAAAATGGCGGGGAAAAGTTCCGGATGGAAACAGTGAAGTTAATTCGCGCCAGGATGGGCCATGACAAGGTGACATCTACTCGTTAAGTTGAAAATTGTTGTATTTTTACTTGAATAACACGGTGGTATGATCGTTCATATTGGTATGTGTTCCGTAATAATTAGACAACACTGTATAGCATACCTAATCGAAAATACATATTTTTTCTATGTAGACTAAGAACATTTTGAAGCATTAATCTTTATTTTCTAAAATAGTCGAACCTCATTATCTCGAAATTGGCGGGACCGTGGGAAAACCTCGAGTTATCCAAGTATTCCATTTAAGCAAGGTCGAATGTTAAGAGTGAAACATGGCCTTGACCGACGGAATATTTCGAATTAAATAGGGTTTTCGAGTTATATGAGTTCGAGATAACGAGTTCCGTCTGTAGTTATTACTTGAAATCACTTCATTTGATGCATGCTTATCTTAGTATATTCAGATATATACTTCATGTACTTAACCAAGCTATCGATGACAAGCAATGATCAGATGATCATCTTTTGTATTAAAATTTGTAAAATAAAACACCAAAAAAAATGAGCATTTTAATTTGTACAGGTCCTAATTGACATAATAAAAATCGACATTGGAGCGGCAGAATGGCACATCCTTCCAAACCTAATTGAGACAGGGTCTCTAATGGCAGTCCGGCAGCTTCTTATTGAGGTCCACGTGGCGTTACAGGGGGCCGACATCCACTTCCGAGAAAAGCTAGTGATCCTTCGGCAGTTGTATGACATGGGATTCCGTTTGTTCTGGACTCACCCTAGCGATGAACCTAGCAAAACGTTCAGATGCTCAGTCAACAAGAAACATACCACGTGTTGCTACGAGTTACACTTTGTAAATAAAAACCATATTCGATAGATAGTATGACATTTTATTTAGATTTGCTGCAATGGTGTTTAAACCAAAAGCAAATTTCACAGACAGTGGTGGTGTACGTAAGCATAAATGTGCACCGCAGTATTCTTTCAAAATAGAAGGAAAGCCTTCATTTTCTTGTTATATCCGATTTCTTTTCAAAAATTGGTGGACAGCGTTACAAGCATATGCTTTTGACCTCGACTTGGTCGTCTTTCGTGACAACAAATATACTTGAGATGGAAAACAGAATTTGATATCATTTGACAGTTTACATTGTTAGAAGTTTGCACAACATACAATTGTCAGTGAAACAAACTGTAAATGTGTTTGCCTTGCTGTTTTGTATCCTTACAATGCAGCTTAAATTTACATAAAAAAAGTTTACAGCGACCTCCCGTTTCACTCTCTCTTTGCTGAAGCCTCTAACGAAATATTTGTATACTTATAATGTCAACCATATTTCACCCAACCTATTTGAAATCAAGGAAACGACTTTTTCATCAGCCGCATAGCCATTATTTCCACGAAACCAACGGAGACAGATTTCCACCAGGCTGTATGATAAGTGTATTGATTTCGGTTTCCCTATTGTGAATTTCCCATAGGCTGTAACATTTATGACGTTTGAATGTTGCAGTTATTTCAATATGTAAATGAACAATATCACAATTTTCGTAAAAGATTCGAAAGCTTACAGATAAACAACATCATACATCTTTTGTTGTATTATTCGTTTTCAACACATCGCCCATATCTATTTGTTCATATCTCAACGAAATTGCCATCAATACATATATCATATAATCCCTCATGCGATATGACGTTTAATGTGTTGAATGCTTGTTTCGTTGTTATTTACTTTGCTCTCTCTTTAAACCCTATGTTAATGGTGGATACACTTTAATTCGGTTTTGTATTTTTTTTTTCATATTAACTTAAGTTGATATGCATTTTAAAGCTATTTATCGCTGGTGATAACACATAAATGCATTGTTAATACGCTTAATAAAACTTGTTTACAAAATAAATGCAACGTAATAATAATAATTTTAGCCAAGGTTGAAATTAAACTGGAAAGCCAACAATGATCAGTCACTCTCAGAATAACATTTAAAGCCTTACAGTTCAATACGAGAAGTTTACAAATAGGCTAAATAAGTTTATATATAAAACAATTAAAATCCGTAATTAACTTATAGGCTGATAAGCAAATCCAATTAAAGTCTGTAATAACTTCATACATTAATATGTAAAAACAATTCAAATAAGTAATTTACGTAAAGTTAATAAGTAAAAACTTACTCTGATCCGTATTTAGCAATTAAGTCAATAATCAAAAGAAGAATTGAAATCCGTAATTAGCTAAAAGGTTTATAAATGAAGCAATGGTATTCCTTGATAAACTTAAATTTTAAAGTAGGATTATCTATTATTTTCGATGAACAAAAATGCTTACTATTCCAGAACCTCTGGCCTTACTATCCTTGTACTTTTTTTTTATTTCTTTCGATTTTGCGTTCACTTAATCGATAATGAATTTGTTGATACGTGATTGTTTCAGGTGTCAGCATCGTTTACAAAATAATAAAGAAACATACGTAAGAACATTAGATTTTTTTAACAATAATAAATATATTGTCAGATTTGGAGAATAGCTCTCACTATTGACATACACGTATTTCCATTTATGCCCTACACAAGAGGACGTATCAACTTCATTTGGAATTCAGCTAACAAATTACTTACGTTGTGCAATATTACTTGGCGAATGTTGTCGATAAAACTGAAGATCTCATTCTTTTCTTATGAAAACCTTGTCTTATACTACTTTCATTTTTCAGGGGTTGATGCGTACGACTTTCCTTCGTTCATATGCTTACCCTTGTTTTTCGATTTTAAGCTTGAATTTTGTTAACATTTTGGAATTCTCTTGTTTTCTTTTTACTCATATCTCGTCATTTCGTGTACAAATTGTAGACTGTTTGCTCTCCCTTTTACTTCTGGCATCTTTACTCTATGGCATAGGGTATGAAGGAAGACACCTGAATTTGAAATACTGTAAAAGAGATAAATACGAATGAATAAACATGATTACTAGATAATAGTTGAATATGTTTGAATACAGATGGCCGGCGATAAAAGTAAGGCTTGATATATGAGAAACGTAATTCTGAATAAGATGGGCATAGTAAAATAAAATGAATTTCATCTTCTATTTCATTACTGTTGCACAGAGTGCATATTCTTTGAGAAATATTAACACCATGGCATCAACATTCAACTTATGTGAGCACAGCCTATACTAAAACCGTATCATTTTTATTTTCATAATTAGTGGTTTGTTGAGGTACGATTGTGTAACAAACCGATCAACTATTTGTTTATACAGTGTATACTTTGAGGGGCTTTCAAATCTACTTCTTATGTCTTGAATAAATATATCCTGTATACGTTGTTTATATATCAATAAGAAATACTTTTCATTTAAAACACCGTGTGCCAACCATACATTACCAAAACCAAATGTAAATAAAATCTTGTTTCAAAAGAAAATCCAATTTGCCTTACAATTAGGCCTCTTGGTATCAAGATCAACTAATTCATAATACCAAGCTCTTTATATACAATTATCTGTCTTCAAAAGTTGAAGTCAATACTTAACAATATTAACCTTACGCTGAACATGATAAGAAAAGCGACCTAGCTTAGAATTATTAACATTTTTCTTCACTCCCAAAAGAGATTTTAAAAACGACAAATGTACCTTTCCAATCTGTGGTACTATATCAAAGCCCCAGACCTCGCAACTATAATTCAAAATGCATGATACCTAAGTATCAAATAATGATAACTTAGTTTTTACATTCAAAACAAACTTGTTAATCCTACGATTGAGGAGATAATATGCCTTTCTACCTTGTGCAGCTATGTTATTATGTGTTATTGTAAATTTACCTTTATATTTGTAAGCCAATCATAAATAACAAAATTGATCTACAATCTCTGTTTATTTTCCATCAAAATACCTCCGTTCATTTGGTAATAATCGTTTACTTTTTTTTCTAAAAACTACTATCTTGATCTTATCGACATTCACGGTCAAGTTCCTATGATCCGAGTAACTCTTCAAAAAATCCAGAATGTTTTGGAGCTCAACACTGTCTTCAGAAAATAGCACAGTATCATCAGCAAACATGATTAAAAACAGATTAAGGAGTTGTATATTACAGCTTTGACGATTGGATACAAGAAGTTCTGATTCAATGTCATTAACAAACAAGGTGATAAAGATTCACCTTGTAATAAACCGACTTGCAAGTCGTACATTGGAGGCAATTTACCATGCAACTTCACGCACGACTTAACATTTTCATATATAGATTTTATCTCATTCAGCAAACGTCCACTGACCCCAGATTTCCAAAACTTAAATCATAACTTATTGTGTGTGCGTGTGCGTGTGAGGGCGCGCGTGCGAGCGTGCGTGCGTGCGTGTGTGTGTGCGTGTGTGTGTGGAAATACTGTATACATAATTGTAATGATGTTACATCTTAGTGATGTTGATGATGATACTTTATCACAGTGTCTTGATGATGACGATGATGATGATGATGATGATGATGATGATGATGATGATGATGATGATGATGATGATGATGATGTATAAATGCGATGTGTATATATTCAATGATTAATAAGTTGAGGATATTATATAAGGGTATGGATGATGATGATTGATGATGATGATGTATATATTTAATGATTAAAAAGTTGAGGATATTATATCAGGGTATGGATGATGATGATGATGATGATGATGATGATGATGATGATGATGATGATGATGATGATGATGATGATGATAAATATATTGTTGATGGATATTATATCAGGGTATGGATGATGATGATGATGATGATGATGATGATGATGATGATGATGATGATGATGATGATGATGATGATGATAAATATATTTAATGATTAATAAGTTGAGGGTATTATATTAGGGTATGGATGATGATGATGATGATGATGATGATGATGATGATGATGATGATGATGATGATGATGATGATGATGATGATAAATATATTTAATGATTAATAAGTTGAGGATATTATATCAGGTTATGGATGATGATGATGATGATGATGATGATGATGATGATGATGATGATGATGATGATGATGATGATGATAATATATTTAATGATTAATAAGTCGAGGGTATTATATTAGGGATGATGATGATGATGATGATGATGATGATGATGATGATGATGATGATGATGATGATGATGATGATGATGATGTATATATTTAATGATTAATAAGTTGAGGATATTATATCAGGGTATGGATGATGATGATGATGATGATGATGATGATGATGATGATGATGATGATGATGATGATGATGATGATGATAAATATATTTAATGATTAATAAGTTGAGGGTATTATATTAGGGTATGGATGATGATGATGATGATGATGATGATGATGATGATGATGATGATGATGATGATGATGATGATGATGATGATGTATATATTTAATGATTAATAAGTTGAGGATATTATATCAGGGTATGGATGATGATGATGATGATGATGATGATGATGATGATGATGATGATGATGATGATGATGATGTATATATTTAATGATTAATAAGTTGAGGATATTATATCAGGGTATGGATGATGATGATGATGATGATGATGATGATGGTGGTGGTGGTGGTGGTGGTGGTGGTGGTTACATTATTTCAAGGTGATTGCGAGGAAGATGTCGATATTGTGTTATGTTGTGTATGAAGATGGCAAGGGTGGTGTATGGGTGAGGATGCTGTTGGTAATGAAGATGTACATGTAACATCAATTATGACTCTGAAAAGATGTATGGAATGTGAATGGTATATGAAAGGTCATTTGTACTCTTATTACGTAATGCAAAAATGTTTGAAAAACAAAATAACTTTAAAAAATTATAATAAT